CAGAGGCCCATATCCTGTGTGGAGGTACAGGAGGTCAAGAGGTAAGTAAAGTGCATGTGCGAAGCCTGTGCTAAGTACATGGCAGGGTTACGTTCAGCTGTTGGGAGAGAAGTATTGGAGAACTCTGGACAGATGAATGTGGACATGGGCGTTTCCCTCCTAATTGCAAGTTACAGTCAGCGTATACATTGACAAGGGTACCCGAGACTTAACTGGAGGAGACTTACTGTGTAAGTGTACATGGTACATGGCCATTTCTAATATCAGAGGCCAGCCTTAGGGCCAAGTATTCCCTGATGGCTGTCTCAGCTTTGTCCCTAGGCATTGATGGAATCGGCACAAGTAAAGGTACCCCATGTGCAAGAAGAGTGACCCTGTTGCAGGTGCCCAGCGTAGCCCAGAAGAAAGCACCCTGGTTAGGGCTGCTAAGTTACCCACACTTGGCACCCGATGAGGGGAGCATAGAGGGAGTGTCACCCACTTGCCCTACACAGGTATGGAAATTTTATACATAGCTACACTGATCCAGCTTTAACCAATGTAACTATACCTATCTCATACCTGGTCAATGCCCCTGAAAGCTGGAAATCATTAAAGCAGACACTTCTTCTCCAGTGACCTCCACTTGCTGCTGGGTGCCAAGGCGAGCAGCTGCCCTGTTGCACAATGAACACATGAGGTCGACCACTCAGCACGGGCACCATTCACAGAATCCTTTGCATTTTCTGAATAAATACAAAGAGTTCTCTGACTGGACGAGGTAAAGAGTATGACATCACTACCCCCCCCCCCCCCCCCACACACACCCTTCATTTAATCAGAGAATGACCGACAATTTTGATGAAAAAAATTTTTTGTGTTTTTGCTATTAAACATGTCCAGTAAAAAAATCAAATTTGATCATAAATTTAGGCCAAAATGTATTCTGCTACATGTCTTTGCTAAAAAAAATCCAAATACGTGTAAATTAATCGGTTTACGTGAAAGTTATAGCTGTTGCAAATGGCAGTATAGATAAAGGAATTTTTTTTTTTTACTAGTAATGGCGGCAATGAGCAACTTATAGAGGGACTGCAGCAGGCATTCTGACACCAGGGGGAACTGACTTGGTGTCACTGACATCCCAGTGACACTACTACAGTGATCAGTGCTAATAAAAAGCACTGACACTGTACTAATGGCACTGGGCAAGAAGGGGTTAACATGTGTGGCGATCAAAGGGTTAACTATGTGTTGTTTCACTACTTGGGCTGTGTGTGTATTCACTGTAAACACACTGCTTTGTATGGCTCTGCTATGCAGAGCCATACAAAGCAGAGTGCAGGAGCTGACAGGGGAGAAATCTCTGGTAAATCCTCTGGAGGGCAAGTGGTTAAATGAACCCAACGTAGAAGGCTATAGAGAGCTACTGTGCTAGAGTTTATACACAATTTAACCTCTACACACATTTAAAGTATAACTAAAGGCAAAGTTTTTTTTTTTTTTAGTTCTGGATAGAGTGGAGAGGCATTGGAACCCCTGTCAGGTTTTTATTGCTGTCTGTGCCCCTGTTAAGGAGTTTCACTCTCTCTATGTGTCCTGTTTATCATTATCACTGAAAGTGAAAGGAAAGAAATGTTGGGTTATCCCCAGAAAAGTAATAGAGGAGAAATCTTCTAATGGGGACACTAGTTCTGGTGACCTGGGGGGCCCCATGGGATTACTTTGCAGGGATTTCATCTCACTTCCTGTTTTAGCTATGGCACTGGAAATGAAGGAAATCTCCCAAATGGGACACAAAAAATCTGACAGGAGTTATAACCCTCCTTACTCTATCCAAAATGAAAGAAACATTGCCTGTAGTTCTACTCTAAAGTGGTTGTATGTGGTTGTAACTTCAAACATGAAATATGAACAAAGCATATCCCTCTATAGTGTGCACTTATATAAGAGCACTCAGCTTCGGTTCACATACAAGTGAAACTCGAAAAATTAGAATATCGTGCAAAAGTTCATTTATTTCAGTAATGCAACTTAAAAGGTGAAACTAATATATGAGATAGACTCATTACATGCAAAGCAAGATAGTTCAAGCTGTGATTTGTCATAATTGTGATGATTATGATTTACAGCTCATGAAAACCCCAAATCCACAATCTCAGAAAATTAGAATATTGTGAAAAGGTGCAATATTCTCGGCTCAAAGTGTCCAACTCTAATCAGCTAATTAAGCCATAACACCTGCAAAGGGTTCCTGAGCCTTTAAATGGTTTCTCAGTCTGGTTCAGTAGGAATCACAATCATGGGAAAGACTTCTGACCTGACAGTTGTGCATAAAACCATCATTGACACCCTCCATAAGGAGGGAAACCTCAAAATATAATTGCAAAAGAAGTTGGATGTTCCCAAAGTGCTGTAGCAAAGCACATTAATAGAAAGTTATGTGGAAGGGAAAAGTGTGGAAGAATAAGGTGCACAAGCAGCAGGGATGACCGCAGCCTGGAGATGATTGTCAGGAAACGTCCATTCAAAAGTGTTGGGGACTTTCACAAGGAGTGGACTGAGCCTGGAGTCAGTGCATCAAGAGCCACCACACACAGATGGATCCTGGACATGGGCTTCAAATGTCATATTCCTCTTGTCAAGCTGCTCCTGAACAACAAACAATGTCAGAAGCGTCTTACCTGGGCTAAAGAAAAACAGACCTCGTCTGTTGCTCAGTGGTTCAAAGTCCTCTTTTCTGATGAGAGCAACTTTTGCATCTCATTTGGAAACCAAGGACCCAGAGTATGGAGGAAGAATGGAGAGGCACACACTGAAAGATGCTTGAACTCCAGTGTAAAGTTTCCACAGTCTATGTTGATTTGGGGAGCCATGTCATCTGCTGGTGTTGGTCCACTGTGCTTAAGTCCAGTGTCAACGCAGTCGTTTGGAGCACTTCATGCTTCCTTCCGTAGACGAGATTTATGGGGATGCTGACTTCATTTTCCAGCAGGACTTGGCACCTGCCCACACTGCCAAAAGCACCAAAACCTGGCTCAATGACTGTGGGATTACTGTGCTTGATTGGCCAGCAAACTCGCCTTTCCTGAACCCCATAGAAAATCTATGGGGCATTGCCAAGAGAAAGATGAGAGACATGAGACCAAACAATGCAGAAGAGCTGAAGGCTGCTATTGAAGCATCCTGGTCTTCCATAACACCTCAGCAGTGCCACAGGCTGATAGCTTCCATGCCACACCGCATTGAGGCAGTAATTGCTGCAAAAGGGGCCCAAACCAAGTACTGAGTACATATACATGCTTATACTTTTCAGAGGTCCGATATTGTTCTATGTACAATCCTTGTTTTATTAATTGCATGTAATATTCTAATTTTCTGAGATTGTGGATTTGGGGTTTTCATGAGCTGTAAGCCATAATCATCACATTTATGACAAATCACGACTTGAACTATCTTGCTTTGCATGTAATGAGTCTATCTCATATATTAGTTTCACCTTTTAAGTTGCATTACTGAAATAAATGAACGTTTGCACGATATTCTAATTTTTCGAGTTTCACCTGTATATGTGAAATTAAATGTGTTTTGAACTGCACGGATTCGCATGACATGTGAACCAAAAGGCTTTCTTTGTGAAGCCCATTCACATATGGGAGGGCTGACTACATTGCAATTTGAAAAAGAGTCCTGTGTGATTTTTAGTTAGGTTCAGGTGCGATTTCCAATCCCATGTGCTTTACAAATCCCATTGGAATTGTACCTCAACCAGTGAAGGAAATCGCACCAGGCTATGTTCTAAACTGCAAACTGACCTGCAAATACGTAAACCGAGTGGGGTACACACTATAAGAAAATCGGAATAAAAATTCCATACGAGGAATAATTGTTCGATTTTCGTATAGTGTGTACACAACGTTCAACATCCGATTCAGACTTACCAAATGAAAATTTCTGAAGGGACAAACCCCAAAATTGTTCTCATATGTGAACAGAACTAATGATTTTCTTTTTAATGTGTACTGTTTTCGTAAGAGAAAAATCTGATCCGAAAGACTGTGCATGATCAGAAACAATAAACAACAATAATCTATGCTACAACATTTCTACTTCAGATAAAAATAAAGCCTTTGTCATCTGAAAATTTTTGTACAATTAGTACCATCCTCAGGTTTGGCTTGCTGTGAAACATTGAGGAAATCTGGATGATCATTCATCCCATTTTTCTTACAGTGTGTACCCATGTCATTTCTGTCTGCTGGTTCAATCCTCTGCTGTCACAAGTTTTCTTGTAACCAAGAGAAAAAAGGTTACAGGGGAGGGACCTTCAATGATTGACAGCTTCAGCTCTGTTCGTGTGAGCTGTGTGGAGTGGTTGGGTATCTTCCCTCCAATTAGCCCCCCTCATTGAGCTCTGCAGAGTGTAACTTCAGCTCTCCACCGACTTTTTTCTAAACTCTCAGACAAGCTTTATAAATTCAGCACTTAAATGGCTGTAGAGAATACTGCAGATAAACAGGTATAACTTATGTAGGATTTGTATTATCTCTGTGTATTACCTGAGGCCTGTCACTTCACTAGGTATATGGAAGGGTTTACAACCACTGTAACCATTTAGGTGTAGTATAATATATGAATAACTTGGATTTCTTCCTCAAACACTGACTTCCTGTTACACCGCACCATAAACCTTCCAATACAGTCAACATACACTTCCCTGACCTCGCACCCACGCTTCCTTCTCTGCACCTCAAGATCATAGAAGACGGCTTGTCTTCTATGATCCTAAAGTGCAGAGACGGACGCGTCTCCGCCAAAATGGCGCCTGTAGCCGCTTCCCAAACACGCAGATTGACCGTGTCAGCTGGAAAAAAACACATTTTAGAAAAATAGGTGACTACGCATTAATTGCACCGTCCTATAAAGGGTTTAGAGGTGCGATCTAGCTGAAAATAAATGGGAGGAGCTCTGTTTTTACTATCACCTGAGTACGGAAGCTGATAACCGTGACGTCATCAGACATGGAGCCGGGGAGCAGAGAGGGTTCTGATCCGAAGTATGCACAGACCATCGATCCGAAAAAGCTGAGTCCGGAGCAGCTGGAATTCATCCGAAAGAAGGAGATGGCTCAGTGGGCACAGAAAGCGAAGAAGCTGAGACACAGAAACATCATCACTGGCCTGGCCATAGGCGGCATCGTGCTGGGGATCTGTATCCTTGCTGAGTGACCTTCTCTACTTACTGTACCGGACAGATTATTCGATCCGGCTCTAGTCCCCTCTGCCTGCAGACTGCTGGGCTGACTCAAAGTGGACACTAGTGTTATTCTTGCCTTTTCTGACACGTGCCTAAAAAAAAAAATCAGCATGTTATGCCAGAAAATTACTTATACCCCCACTCCCCCCCCCAAAAAAAAAATTCTAAATTTTTTATAGCAGAGACCCTAGACAATAAAATGGTGGTCGTTGCAATATTTTTCTATGTCACAGTATTTGTGTGACCAAAAAAAATTCTGATAAACTATAAAAAAAAAATTAAACTACGCAGAGTAAATAGATGCCTAATGTCATGCTTTAAAATTGCACATGCTAGTGCAGCCCTTAAAATTTCTATTTGCATTCGGCGTTTGTATTGGTTGAAGGAATAGTGACTCCACCGTTAGTATTGGTTGGAGGAATAGTGCCCCCACCGTTGGTATTGGTTGGAGGAATAGTGCCCCCACCGTTGGTATTGGTTGGAGGAATAGTGCCCCCACCGTTGGTAATGGTTGGAGCAATAGTGACCCACCGTTGGTGTCAGTGGAAGAAATGGTGCCCCATATCAGTGGGAGTATCTGGTCCTTGGGGCACTGTTCCTACCACTAATATGAGGCTCTGATAAAGGCTAAGGCATGCCAAGGGCTGTAGTTTGAAGACCACTGTCCTAGACCATAGAGATGATTAGGGAAATTCCGCTCCCAATCACCTCTATTAGCTGCAACCATCAGATCAATTCTGAAGAAAACTGCACCAGAAAGTGGGGGGGCACGACCCATCCCACTGCACGACCCATCCCACTGCTTCTAAAAGCAATCCATCAGCTAATCGGCCACTTAGCTTTTAGCAGAAAGTAAATTGGTTGCTGTAAAAACAATACCAGGGTTATGTATGACAACTGAAGACATTTTATTTAATACACTGTTTAGTGTTCAACTTTTCAGAAAATAATTAAACTGACACTGTACACCCTCCCCACCTACCTCCGGTTCCCGCTGTACTTCCCTCCGTTTTTGATGAGCTGTCAGCAATGCAGCTGGTATAGTAGTTAAGGGATTTGAATTCCCTGCTCTTTCCCTCATTCTTTTTGTAGGGCTTCCAGGACGGATCAGAGGGATTCTGAGTGGACAACGCATTGCTCTGATCTGTCCCGGAAGTGCAGCAGAAAGCAGAGGGCAAAAAGTGAGGATTTAAAATCCTCAGACCGCTACATGGGCTGAGTGGGCACTGGCAGCTCAGCATCCTCAGAGGTAAGTACAGTGGAAACCAGGGGAGGGTGTATGTTGTTCACCTTTTTTCTTTTTTTCTGAAAAGTGAACTAACCTTTTCAAAGTCAGAGCTATTATTTTGCGCACTTGTTTAACTACTTGCCACTGTAGAAATGCGGCACTGGCAGGCAAAACCAAGTTTTAAAACGTGTGTTTTGTAAACCTAATATGTCTGTAAAACAGCAATTTAAACCACTGTACTTGGGAAGGATGTTTTATACAGCTTGAACCGTTTTAACGATGCATATAGCATACCTGGCCTATGCCCCTGGAAGCTTGAAATCACTGTAGTAGACTGTGCTACTCCAGTGATCTCCACTGGCTTCTGAGTCTTCTGAGCAGTCAACCTGATGCATTCTGAACACAGCAGTTTGGCTGCTTGGCATGGGTACCATTCAGAGAATACTTTGCTTCCTCTGTATGAATGCAAAGCATTCTCTGATTGGTTGGGGTGGAGAGCATGATGTAATCAATAATACATGATTAACCACTTGAGCTCTGAAAGATTTTACACCCTTCATGACCAGGCCTTTTTGTTTCTATTTGACACTGCTTTACTTTAGCTGGTAACTGCATAGTCATGCAATGCTGTATACAAATGAAATGTATATGATTTTTTTTTCACACAAATAGAGCTTTGCTTTGGTGGTATTTGATCACCACTGGGTTTTTTCATTTTTTATGATATAAATGAAAAAAGACTGAAAATTTTCAAAACAAAAAAAAACACAATATTTTCTGTTATAAAAACATATCCCAATCCGTGTAAATTATTTAGTCTGTAGAAACAATTGAGTACTGTCCGTGATACTTTTTTTTATTTGCACTAAAATACAATTTTGAGGACAAGCTTTCGGGGAATGTCCCCTTCTTCAAGGTCAAAGCAGTACTCCTTAGTACTGCTTAGACCTTGAAGAAGGGGGCATTCCCCAAAAGCTTGTCCTCAAAATTGTATGTTAGTGCAAATAAAAAAAGTATCATGGTCAGTACTCAATTGTTTCTGTCGCAAATGCACTAATACGGCTACAATCAACTCAAACACAACTTTAGTCTGTAGGAAAGTTATAGCGTCCACAAACTATGGTGTATATATGGTGAAAATTGATCAGTCCTGATTTACTGACAGCCAATCTCATTTCTTGAGGCCCTTAAAATGCCAGGACAGTACAAATATCCCTCAAATTACCTCTTTTTGGAAAGTAGACAGTCCAAGGTTTTAGTAAGAGGCATTTCATAAGAAATTAGATAAAATATTTTTTACATACTGTCAGCAGCACAGTACAGCGTCATGATATGACTGGTGTGGTGGTGATGAGGGACACTGATTGGTGACCGCATGTAAAAAAAAAAAAAAAAAAACTAATTAATTTTTTTTATTCAATATTTTATTTTACCAGGAATGCTTTGAACTGTCATGAATGGGCTAAGTTCATGACAGCACTGAATACTACTGATCTGTGATTGGCTACAGCTAATCACATGGTGCAGACTCCTGTGATTACTACCAGGTACTATGTGATAGCTGTGGGCCAATCACAGCTCACTGGTATCAGAGGCAAAGCTGTTGCGAATGGAATTCGTTCATAACAGCTTTGTTGACAATGTGATCTTATGATCACTGGGTCACAAGTACCGGGATACGCATTCTGCTGTGTCCGTTGCGTATGGGTGGCCCTCTGCAGCTCAGTAAGCTCTGACATGAGTCCATATTACTAGCAGTGCATGCAGTGAATGACAAAAGTAATACTTCCCACCTGTTAGCTAGGTGTCTCATCACACAGCGGAAGCAAAAGAATGATACATCACTTCCACTTTCAACATGAAATATGTCACTTTTACACCTCCAAATCATGTAGTGTTTTCGTGTGTGTGTGTGATCCATGGAGCTTCTTTGGATTCTGTATTTCTAGCTGCATTTGTTTTCAAAGCCTTAACTTCCTAACAGATGGATACAGCTTTTACTCTGTATCACAAGAAAAGTTTCTAGATGAACTAGAAGAGGAAGCAAAAGTGGCCCGAGCAAGATTTCCAAAAACTTCTGCAAATTAAATAAGGCAATTGAAGATTTTTTTTTTTTGGAATGGATACCAACTTTCAGCCTGGGCTGACAAGCCAAAGCACTTCAACTATCTTGTCCTATAAAACCCATATATCCTAAATTTAAAACTATTTTGTTTTGATATGTCTGTATAGTATGTAATTACATTTTTATGAATAAAACATGTACAGAAGTCTCACTTATAGTGATCAGCATATGACTATACTTCATATTACATTTTGAAAGAGTTGAAAACTATCAAGTGTATCATTTACACCATACACCTGTTCCACCACCAATTTTTTGGGGAGGTTAAACAGTTGAAATGCACAGCAGGTGCACAACGTTTATGTGGAATCGTGAGCTTCTTAAGACTTCCAGAGAGCTAGGGAGCTGGTTGTGACACAGGGCTCCATTCACTAAAGCAGATCGCATTTGGCATTTAGGTGGTCTGACAAATTTTTCCCAAATATTGCATGTGATGCTGAAAATGTCAATTGACTATCACACTTTACGGTATTTATCTAAAAAAAAAACAAAAACGCTCGGTAAATACCGGATAAAACTATGTTCAAGTCAATTCACTAAAGGATATATTTAAATGCATGCTTTAAATAAGCAGTGGTCCAGGCATGCGATAGTTAAAGAATCTGTTTTATTTTAGCTGGTTGTTTAGGAGCGGGCAGCCACTGCTCCTTAACAAACATGACTTGTGCGGGGAATCTGCAGAATCCCGAATGTAAACAAAAGATCTGCTTACATTAACCGCTTTTCCAATGCCCAGTAGCAGATATACTGCTACAGGGCGGCAGGACAGCACTATTTTGCTTGGCAGACTTCTGGCATTGGTGAACAAACACTTTAATTCATTAACACCTTGTTCACACATATTTTGCATATTTTTTATTTTCATACAAATGGTACCAATTCCACTGGTTGTTTGTAACATGGGAACCTTCTTATCTGCCATAGCCTTCCCCACATCTTTCCCCATTCCGCCCACCAATAAGTACTGATCCCTGTCTGATCTGTCTACCCCGTTATAATCTAATTCCCCTACCCCCCTCGATCCTAGTTTAAATACTCCTCCAGCCTTCCCATAAACCTCTCCCCCAACACAGCAGGCCCCCTTCCATTTAGGTGAAAACCATCTCTAGCATATAGGTTGCACCCCAGTGCTTTAGAAACCCAAATACAGTAAACAATACAATTCTCTCCCCTGTCAGCTCCTGCACACTGCTTTTGTATGGCTCTGCATTGCAGAGCCATACAAAGCAGTGTGCTTACAGTGGAAAGCACACACAGTACAGTAAACAGCACACAGTTAACCCTTTGCCCCACATGTTAACCCCTTCCTGCCCAGTGCCATTAGTACAGTGTCAGTGCTTATTACCACTGATCACTGTATTGGTGTCACTGGGGGATGTCAGTAACACCAAGTCAGCTCCCCCCAGTGTCAGAATGCTCACCGCAGTCCCGATATAAGTCGCTGATCGCCATTACTAATAAAAAAAAAAAAAAAAATCCCACTATATATACTGCCATTTGTAAACGCTATAACTTTCACGTAAACCTATTAATTTACACATTTTGGGTTTATTTTTAGCAAAGACGTAGCAGAATACATTTTGGCCTAAATTGATGACGAAATGTGATTTTTAAAATTTTTTTTACTGGACATGTTTAATAGCAAAAAGTAAAAAAAAATTTTTTTTTTTTCTCAAAATTGTCAGTGATTGTTTGTTTTTTTTTATAGCTCAAAAAATAAAAAAAAAAAAACACAGGCGATCAAATACCACCAAAAGAAAGCTCTATTCGTGGCAAAAAAAGGACAAAATTTCATTTGGGTGCAGGGTTGCATGACCATGCAATTGTCAGTTAAAGAGACGCAGCACCCATAATGCAAAAAATGGCCTAGTCAGGAAGGGGGGTAAATTCTCTGGAGGGCAAGTGGTAAAAAACTCAAGACCCCTTTATGTCTGGTATGGATTCTGAGGGGAACCCCATGCTAAAATGAAAAAAAATAAAAATTCCACCCGCAAATCTACAAAACCCTTATCCGAGCATACAGGAGAGGAGGGGGGGGGACTAGCAAGCGCCCCCTCCTGGACCATATCAGGCCACATGCCCTCAACATGGGGGGCTGCTTTGCCTGGCCCGGTGGTGGTGTGGGGGATGACATCGAAATCTTAAAGCCCAGTTTAACAAGAGGGTCCCCAGATCCTGCCCTTCCATGTGAACGACTATGGGGTACATGGTACCCCTACTTATTCATCAGAAAATATGCAAAATAAATTTGTCCTTTATTCAAACCCCCCCAAAAAATAAATGTCCCTGAAGTAGATCTAACGTCAATCACATTGAATGCTGGCTGTTGACATGAACGAAAAAAAGGATCTGTACCGGCTCTTGGCTTCAGCCAAATGACAGCTTCACTGCCTACACGCTGCTAAATAAACTTAGGGGAAGGGCCACCCATTGACATAACCGGGCGATACTTGCCCTCCTATTGGTTATCACATGCCGGGGGGAGCCCTAGCCTCTTGTCTATTTTTCCTATAAATTATGGCAACAATGACCCTGTGATCACTGCTTCCTAAGTTGTCTCTTCCACATCTGCAATTAACTCTTGTGTTATTTGTATCTAGTAGGTCCAGCATTTAACTCATGAAATTGTCCGGCATTATATTCAAGAAACAACAAGCTGTTGAGTGCATATTTCTGTCCAATGAATTCAGATAGTTAATGTCCACCAGGAGCGGGATCCTGCTCCTCTGGCCGAGCAGCAGAAAGTCGGTCACCCTGCTGTGCCTGCATGTAGATTCGTGACATGCAAGCTCCACTCCTGTCACCCCCCCTTTCTCCACAGACACAGTGTGATCCCATGCTTCATGCCCGCCAGAGACAAAGGCCGTGCTCCCTGTGCGGAGCTGGTGTTGAGGGGGGGGACGCTAAGTCTCAGGTTACCATGGGAATGCGCCCCAGCTCTGTATGTAATGCCGGAGCGGCCCCCGGTCTGGTGTGTTCAGTTTCTCCCCCCTGCCTGCTGCTGTGCAAGGTCTGTGTTGCGGCCAGACCCCACAGAGGTTCCCTTCCTCCTCACCAGTCTTCTTCACGGGACTACAAGCCTGCTATGTATCTCCCCACCCTCATCCTGCTCCAAGCTCTCCAAGGCCAGCTGTGAGTGAATTAACCCTGCGCTGCCCGGATCTATGCCTGTGTGGATTTAACCCCCTGGGTCCTGCTCCCTGCATCCAGTGAGTGGATTAACGCTGTGCTGCCCAAATCTCTGCCTATGTGGATTTAACCCTCTGTGTCCTGCATCCAGTGAGTGGATTAACCCCGCACTGTCCGGATCTCTGCCTGTTTGGATTTAACCCTCTGTGTCCTCCCTGAATCCAGTGAGTGCATTAACCCCCGTGTTGCCTGGATCTCTGCCTGTGTGGATTTAACCCTCCGACTCCTGCTCCCTGCATCCAGTGGGTGGATTAACCCCGTGCTGCCCAGATCTCTGCATCTGCTGGACTCCCTCCTCTGCCAAAAATCCTTGCCCGTGGACTCCCAACTCCTGCGGTACTCCCCCAGCTCTTTCCTATTGAACCCGGTGGATTATCGGCCCCCTGTTGTCCCATAGTGCCATCCTGGGAACCCTACTGTATCGCTGTGTCTTGTGTTGTTCTGCGGACTAGCTATCCAATCGTCTGTAACCCTGCGAAACCCCCCAATAAACTCCCGCATGTCGGGTTCCATGCAGTCTGTCTCCGTGTGCTCTCTCTCTGCGTTCCTAGTTCGTTACATACACTTTACATGAAATACATAAAGCTACAATGAACCCACCTGGTAGGCCCAACGTGTCAGGGATTGACAGCATAACAGTGCAGATGTCAGAATATTTGGAAATACATTATACAGGGCACAAAGGATGAGTCCTGGATGAGAGTTATATTTCTCCACTATTTGGGTTGTGGTCCTTTTAAGGGTACTTGTGGGTTCTTACCCATGTGAGGAATTCCAGCATGTAGGCCTTTTGGCGCACTTTCAGAAAACACCAAAACTGCCCAATGCAATAGAAGTCTACAGCAAATCGCAGGTAACCTGCACAAAACCTATGGATACACTGCACTGTATCAGTGGGAAAGTGCCCAAAGACCAGGGGTGGGTAACCTTTTAGAGGTGGAGATCTACCTGAACATGAAAGATCACTGGGGTTCAGGGAAGGGGCGGGTTTTTTTTTTTAAGAAATTAATTAGCAATGCCTGTATACTGTAAAAATATAAACAGCCTACCTTAAAAGTGGACGGTGTCAGTAGGACAGAGGATGATGCCAGTAGTTTTTATTTATTAATATTTTATATTGTTTTTTACCACTTTATTATTATTATTTTTTTTTTTACAATTTTGTTTAGTAGCATTATTGGGGGGGCTTTGGTGAAATATCAGGAGTCCAAACAGACCCCTGATGTCTCACTTATGAGAGAGAAAAATTGAGGAAACAGTCCTCAGTCTCTAATTCTGTACAGAATGAATAAACAGGAATAGCTCTGCACAGTCTCCCTGTTCATTCACAAATTGAAGCATAGTAAATCTGTACTGATCGCTCACTGTGTTCATTCAGAAAAGGAAGTGGCTAGTAAATTTCACATTTACTGGCCCCTTCTCCCCTCTCCATCCTGAACTGATCCTCTGCAGCAGCCAGTGTGGAAGGGGTGGAAGCTTGCATTTCGGGGTTGGTGAGAGAGACCAGAGGGGCACACAGGGGGCTTAGGCAGCAGAACAAAGGATAATCTGGACAGGAGAAGCAGCATTTGCTAGAACTCCTGTGTTTTCCCCTTGCAGCATCTGTATGCAGAAAAAGTCAGCTTTCAGCTTCTGCAAGTGGAAAATACAGGGCATTGGTTCCAGTAAATGCCACCCCTGCACCTGTCCAGGTTCCAGGGGTCAGCAAGGAAATGACCAGGCCTGCCTCTGGTTGCCGACCCCCACCGTAGCCTATGTTCTAGTGCACAGTGTG